TCTAAAATTGTCAGGAAAAAGGGGCAGGCAAGCATGGTAATACGGTCATCTGAAACCATGAGGATTAAAATAAATAGTGGAACTAAAATTTTTATAAGAGATAAAAGCTAAATTTAAATGGTTACTTATGCCAGTAAATATCTAAAGCTCCAAAATACGCTCAGAACCAAAAGCACTTCTTGTTTTTCCAACTCCTTAAGCCTGTATTTAAAGAACAGTTCCTTCCTATGGAGTACTAACCTATTGGCTAGTTTCTTTCTTCCAAACAGAAAAATCTCCTATGCCTTCAGTAATTGATGTGGAAAAGATTTCATGATTATATCATTTGACATACAGATTATATTGTTACAAAGAAAAACTTCTCAAGTCTTTTACTACCTCCAGAAATTTTCATTTTAAATATTTTAATTAAAAATATTCCTGGCCGGCGCCACAGCTCACTAGGCTAATCCTCCGCCTTGCGGCACTGGCACACCGGGTTCTAGTCCCGGTCGGGGCGCCGGATTCTGTCCCGGTTGCCCCTCTTCCAGGCCAGCTCTCTGCTGTGGCCCGGGAGTGCAGTGGAGGATGGCCCCAGTACTTGGGCCCTGCACCCCATGGGAGACCAGGAGAAGCACCTGGCTCCTGGCTTCGGATCAGTGCGATGCGCCAGCCGCAGCGCACCGACCGCGGCGGCCATTGGAGGGTGAACCAACGGCAAAGGAAGACCTTTCTCTCTGTCTCTCTCTCTCACTGTCCACTCTCCCTGTCAAAAAAAAATATATATATTCCTGAATATGCTAGTTACATGGTTATGCTTGATACTTGAAAATTCACTGAGCAGTATGCTTAGGTATCATGTACTTTTATTTTATTTATTTATTTATTTATTTGACAGGCAGAGTGGACAGTGAGAGAGAGACAGAGAGAAAGGTCTTCCTTTTCCATTGGTTCCCCCCCAATGGCCGCGCTGATCCAAAGCCAGGAGCCAGGTGCTTCCTCCTGGTCTCTCATGCAGGTACAGGGCCCAAGGACCTGGGCCATCCTCCACTGCACTCCCGGGCCACAGCAGAGAGCTGGACTGGAAGAGGGGCAACCAGGACAGAATCTGGTGCCCCAACCAGGACTAGAACCCGGTGTGCTGGCGCCGCAGGCAGAGGATTAGCCTAGTGAGCCGCAGCACCGGCCGGTATCATGTACTTTTAAAATGAAACAAAAATTATTTCAGAGAGACACAAAGTTCCTCTCTGCTGCTAGTACAGGCTGGGCCAGAACTTGTCGCTCCCCCTCTTCGTGGAGGAACGACACTAAGCCCTGCCTAGGCTTCATATCCGAGTCACGGCACCATTATGTCGCTCCCCCTCTTCGTGGAGGAACGACACAGGACCCTGCGCTGTTCTTTTGTCTGCTCGGCCCTCCCCGGGTTTGCTGCTGGTTCTTCCCGGGTTGGCTACTATCCCTTCCACCTCCGTGGAAGGGCAGTTCCCCCTGGCCACATTCCCCACTTCCGCAGGGGAGCGGCACACCGCCGGCCGGTTCTCTCGGGGGCTGCACGGGTTCCCTTAGATGTTCCCCATAGATGTTCCCGGTGCATGCCGTCTCTCTCCTCCTTTATAGTCCTCCTCCGCCAGTCCTAACTCGGCTGCCCACACGCCGAGTACGCTGCTCTCCTCCAATCAGTAGCAAGTCCTACAGTTCATTAGTTGAACTGGAGGCAGCTGTGCGGAAGCTGTTTACTTCTCTCCCAGCGCCATATTGTGGGAGAGCAGATGCATACAGTAAGTCTTAATTCCAGTAACTCAGTCTAGTCCGGTTTGCTCCTCACAGAACTCAATTCAAATCTCACATATGTGGGTGGCAGGAACCCAATTACTTGAGCCATCACCACTGCTCCCCAGGGTCTGCATTAGCAGGAAGCTGGAGTGAGGAGCCAAAGCAAGGAATCAAACTCAGGCATTCTGATATAGGATGTAGGCATCCTAACTGGTATCTTAACCCACTGGACCAAACGCCCACCCCCATACCTGTTTTTTGTTTTTTGTTTTGTTTTGTTTTGTTTGACAGGCAGAGTGGACAGTGAGAGAGAGTGAGAGACAGAGAGAAAGGTCTTCCTTTTCCATTGGTTCACCCTCCAATGGCCGCTGCAGCTGGTGCACCACGCTGATCTGAAGCCAGGAGCCAGGTGCTTCTCCTGGTCTCCCATGCGGGTGCAGGGCCCAAGCACTTGGGCCATCTCCCACTGCACTCCTGGGCCACAGTAGAGAGCTGGCCTGGAAGAGGGGCAACCGGGACAGAATCTGGCGCCCCCGACTGGGACTAGAACCCGGTGTGCTGGCACCACAGGCGGAGGAGACCCATACCTGTTTTAAATGTAAGTTTTACTTTAAGGAAATATCTGAAGAGAAAGATGTTTACAAACACTCAAATCAAATAGACATTTAATAAGTCTTGGTCTGAATCAAATGAAATAAATGCACGTGTGTATACATGCAATCAATAAAACTGCATAAAATGCATGTATCTAAGACCCTGTACGGCCATTCTGATGAAAACCGGCGTTAAAGATAGCACCGAAGCTCAAAGTACAGGAGAACAAAACTGCAACTCAGTTAAAAGGCAACACAATAGGAGACAAAGGGGAAAGATGCTAGGCTAGGATTCTCTTCCCCCATTATCCTGGCACCTAATAACCTGCTTTATCCAGACATGTGCAGCTCTAGCGGCACAGCTGATCTTTGCTCTCTCTCACAATGACTTTCCTGTGGGAAATTTCTGAAAGCAAATGCACCTTTTATCCAGGGCAGAAGCAGCCAGAGTTGGAGGGAAGGAAGGAGGCGCAGCTGTTGTAGGCGACAAAGCAGCACTCCACACAAAAGACAGAGTCACTTCCGAAGCATAACTGTGGTACATGGAGCTCTCTGTGCTGCCAAGTAACACACGTGAAATGTTGACGGGGCTCAGCAAGGCTTCATTATTTCATGGGCGGTAATTATCGCTGATGGATTTGACCCTACTAAGATGCCACCAACATCACCGTGGACTATTTGCTCAACTTGTTCCTCTTCCTCACGGCTGAAACACAAACGCCAAGGGCATGGGGCTCAATGGCCTCTTTGGTCAGCAAGTAATTTACAGAAGATTTAAAGCTTTGCCATTGGCCTGAACATCCGGGGTCTCCCAGGCCTGCTCCTTCCCTACTCTTAACACCTGTCCTGCCAGGAGGTGGCACGTGGTCTCGCAGCCAGCACTGTCTGCAGCCTGTGCCTGAGAAAAGCAACTCCAACTAACAACACTCGCAAGTGAATCCTGGCACAGCTCACAGGGCCAAAGAAGCCCCCTGCAAAAGAGCAAGGATGCGTTTCACAAACACATCAATCCCCAGTGAGATGCTATGATGAGAAACTACAATAGGAGGCCTGGGCTTTGTTTTGGAAATAAGAGATGACAGTGCCAGCCTTTTCCCAGGACTGCGATGCCAGCTTCCTTCTGAGGAACTGAATGTGCTCACCCCATCCTGAAGAGCTCTGAGCACAGACTCTTGCTGATTTTCTAAGACAACAGAAAAACTTGGCTTACTTCCCTTTCATACAACTGTGAGTTCTGAGATGAGAGATGGAACTGGCTTTCCTAAGTCATTTCATAACACAATTACATTTTAGCTCCACTTTAGAGAGCCTAGTCCCTTAATCTGGATTCTTTTCAGCTATGTGAATTGCTAAGGGGTACAAATGTAGAGTTATAAATTGTGTATTTATACATTATTGGTGCCACTTCCCCTAATGTACCCCTTTATTCCTAAGCAACAGGGAAATCAGACCATATTTCCATGGCTCCTTCGGCTTTTTCTTTCTCATCTCATGAATGTAATTACATCTCCTGGAACAACATACACAATTTTTTTGAAAACAAGAGAAAACAGGGGCCAGCACTGTGGTGCAGTGGGTTAACACCCTGGCCAGAAGCGCCAGTATCCCACATGGGCGCCAGTTCAAGACCCATCTGCTCCGTGAATGATCTGGCTCTCTGCTGTGGCCTGGGAAAGCAGTGGAACATGGCCCAAGTCCTTGGGCCCCTGCACCCATGTGGGAGACCCGGAGGAAGCTCCTGGCCCCTGGCTTCGGATCGGCACAGTTCCGGCCATTGCGGCCAGTTGCGGAATGAACCATCTGATGGAAGTCCTCTCTCTCTCTCTGTGTAACTCTTTCAAATAAATAAATAAATCTTAAAAAAAAAGAGAGAGAGAAACAGCGTCAGAGAATTGCCAATGCATGTCAATCAAACCTCCCCTTAACTACATAAAAAATACACAAGCCAAAGACAAGACAAAGCCTGCCTCAGAACAACCCCAAATAAATCCCAAAGAAAGGGTGAAGTGTGAAAGCCCTTCTCATCTGCACAAGAATAGAATGGGGGAGGGAGACTTCAGGAGAGCCCAGAAACTTCTGGATCTTGCCTGAAAAGGAAAGGCAGCTAGAAAAGATGTTTTAGGCAGAAGGAACGGAGCAGTTCAAGGGCACACGCACAAACCCCCGGATGAGCAGTCACCAGCTCTGCACCCACCTGGTCACACCCTGCATTCACCAGCTCCTGCAGCATCTGCCGGTTAACTTCCGCCGCTGTGGAGGTGCCGGATTCGTTAGCAAAAGGCAACAAGGAGTATCTGATTTCCCGCAGAGCTTTCTGATAAGGTCCAAACTTCGGGGTGGCTCTCTGCTGCTGCCTGGCGGCATCCTTGCTCCCCAGGGAAGCATCACTGTTTGGTCCCACGGGCAACCCCTGAGTGGAAGGCTTGGGCGGCTGCTTCAGCCCCTCGCGGATCTCCTGCAGTCGCTGTCGGCTATTTCCAGAATAAGTCGTGGCAGGAAAAGTCTTTGGCCTCATTGTTAGTCCAGTTTCCTTTTACCATAAATATAATCTTCTTAAAGTGTTTTATTATTTAAAAATAAAACAATAAAAAGCCGTCAATAGCATCAGTCAGTTGTAAACATATTTTCAAGACAACTTCCTTTTGAAAATTTGCTTTCCTTCAACTTTGTAGTTCCTAGAGAGAACCTAAATGTCCCAGAGTCTCCATGGCGAAGTCTCACTCTCTGAAAAACAGAATGGATGGGAGAAACATGTTCATTTGTGGTTTTCACATCATGGCAACGCTATGTTTCGCAAAATGAACCCTGATCTTGGAAACACTCCACTTAGAAAAATAAGAAAGAAGCAACTGCACGCCAGATATGACAAAAATGCTGTTCATTTCTGGTTCGAGCACACATGACATCCAGGGCTGTCCCACGGTGTCTCCTGTGATTTGGAGTCTGTGAATAGTAAGCCTCCATCAAGGGCAAGAACAGTAGTAACAACTGACAGGTCATTGAAAACAATTCATTATGATATGACCTCATTTTGAAATCCACGGCTTGAGTGGTTCGGCTTAAATGTTCTACAAGGGATCCTGGCTCTCCAGCTTGTTCCTAATCACCAATTCACTGGTCCCTGCCTTAGTCCTTCATCCAGTGCCTCTACTAACCTCTCCACCCATGTAAGGCTGTGGCCCTTATAAAACCCTCCCAGTCTCCCTGAAAGGTGCCACAGAACTTGTCACACTGAAGGTACTCTCTATTGCAATCAAAACCACTTTCCACACGACACATTAGGAGACTGTGAAGGTAACACTTCCATGATTTTTTACAAGGTGGCCACTTGCCAGCATTTTGATGTAAAGAGTAAAATAAAAATATCTTTCCTGTAGAAACTGAAACAAATGTGGGAAGCCTGTGGGTGATGTCTCTGTCAGAGTCACTGTGACCACATTAACACAAATGACTCTGCCACTCAAAAACTGGGTTGTTAATCCTTGAGGTGTTGGTCTGCAAGTGGCTGGGGCTTCTGGGGTCATGGTGATGACACAGCTCTTGATCTGGCTGCCATTTACAAGTGCCTTTTGTGGGGCCAGCACTGTGGCATACTGTGTAAAGCTGCCGCCTGCAGTGCCAGCATCCCATATGGGTGCCGGTTCGAGCCCTGGCTGCTTCACTTCCGATCCAGCTCTCTGCTGTGGCCTGGGAAAGCAGTAGAAGATGGCCCAAGTCCTTGGGCCCCTGCACCCATGTGGGAGACCTGGAGGAAGTTCCTGGCTCCTGGCTTCAGATCAGCTCAACTCCGGCTGTTGTGGCCAACTGGGGAGTGAACCAGCGGATGGAAGACCTCTCTTTCTCTGCCCCTCCTTCTCTCTCTGTGTAGCTCTTTCAAATAAATAAATTTTTTTAAAAAGTACCTTTTTGTGAGCATTTTTAGTCTTATAATTTGTGTACTTTTAAACAATATGTGTTAAAACTTGGGGGGAAATGGGCCGGCGCTGTGGTTCACTTGGTTAATCCTCCGCCTGCAGCGCCGGCATCCCACACGGGAGCCAGGTTCTAGTCCCGGTTGCTCCTCTTCCAGTCCAGCTCTTTGCTGTGGCCTGGGAGGGCAGTGGAGGATGGCCCAAGTGCTTGGGCGCCTGCACCTGTGTGTGAGACCAGGAAGAAGCACCTGGCTCCTGGCTTCGGATCGGCGCAGTGCCGGCCATAGTGGCCATTTAGGGGGTGAACCAGCAGAAGGAAGACCTTGCTCTCTCTCTGTCTCTCTCTCTCATGCCTAACTCTATCTGTCAAATAAAAACAAAACAAAACAAAACAACTTGGGCGGGGGGAGACTGTTCCCACCCCCAAAAGGAGCCCAGCTGCCATCCTGGATTGTAGCAGCTTCCCACCTCCAGGGCAAACTGACCAGGATCTTCCTTCCTGCGGCTCTTGAGCCTGTACCCTGTGCTGACGTGACTGGACAGAGGATGCCCCTGCATCCGGGCCTGAAAACGGAACTTCTTTATGGCTCTATTTCTCTAGTCTGGACGATGTCTCGGGGCCTGCCTTTCTGCAGTGGAATGACAAGCAGCTGCAGCCTGCTAGCGTCTCGTGATGGTGAATGAGCCTTCTCACAGGATGCTGTCCTTTACAGAGGGTCAGCCACGGGGACTAACGTTCCACTCCATGCAAAAGCAGACAGGCAGGCCACTGGCAGGGTAAATCTCCGTATTCTCTCTGCCTTCAAGCCCAGTTCTCTGTAAGATGACTGTCATCAGCTCCTGGAACCCCTGCCCCCCAACTCCGGGTTGCCGCTCCTCCCCAGGCATCAGTCACCTCCACGGAGTGCTGCACTTGTCCTTCAAGCCCACCCCCAGTGAAGATCAGTCCTGGACACGCCATTCTTTAGCTCACCCACGGCAGGGGCGCCCCACCTCCCGCACCAAGTCCAGCCTCGGAACAGGGCCTTGGGGGTCCTTCCCTTCCCCATCAAGGCCCTGTGCAGCTCTCAGCTTCACCCCTGGTGACTGCGGAAGCCGGGTGTGGAGCCTGCAGGCTTCTCATTCCTCTCTTCCTTTGCTTCTGCTGTTCCTTCTAGTATCCCCACACTTGGGTTTAGTTACCTCCATTTCTTTTTTTTTTTTTTTTTTTAAGATTTATTTTATTTATTTGAAAGAGAGTTACAGGGAGAGGTAGAGACAGAGAGAGAGGTCTTCCATCCGCTGGTTCACTCCCTAGATGGCCGCAACAGCTGTACTGGCACGGATCTGAAGCCAGGAGCCAGGAGCCACAAGCTTCTTCCGGGTCTCCCACGTGGGTGCAGGGGCCAAGGTCTTGGGCCATCCTCCACTGCTTTCCCAGGCCATAGTAGAGAGCTGGATTGGAAGTGGAGCAGCCATGACTAGAACTGGCACCCACATGTGATGCCGGCACTTCAGGCCAGGGCTTTAACCCACTGCGCCACAGTGCCGGCCCCTAGTTACCTCTATTTCAAAATTGCTTTTCATTTTCTCTTTTATTCTCCCGAACTTTTGATGGTCTCCCCTCTTCGGGCCCTCTTCCTCACCATCACCTTGCACTTGCCTTGTGTATGCTCACTGAAGGCAAGATTTTGTTCTTATTCTCAGTGCCTGAAACTCAGTAGGCACTTAATAAACGCTTGCAAGGCAGATAGCAGTGGATGGGCAGGGGATGGATACACCTTGACCATGAAACACCCTCCCTTGCACTGAACTGATTGTCTGTCGTGCAGGTTGTGAAGGTAGTATGGTTGGCTATGTCTTCTCTGTTTTAACTTTTAAAGAAAGGGAAGAACACGAAAGCCTGAACAGAGGGATTTGTGGGGATTCCTACAGGGAAAAGAACAGCTCTTCTGCCTGATCCCAGACATCCCCAATGTCCCTAGGATCCTCCAAATGTGCTAGGTGCTACTTGAGAATCTCCCCATTGTCACTGGAACGTGAGCCTCTGGTTATAGAAACTTAGGCATTTTCAAAACAGATGCTTAGACCACAAAGTCGCTGAAAATGAGTGTGGTTGCAAGATGCCCTATTTTATACCAATTAAGCAGAGCCTAGGCTTCTGGGCCATGGCCAGTGCAGGCACGGGGGAGGCGCGGCTGTCCTTGAGCTTAACAGTTCGCTAGCTACCCGCTCAGTCCCACAGCACTTCAGAGCACTTGGTGCATTTCAGATTGAGAAGGGTATTTAGTCTGGTTCTTACCTTCTAAATGGAATCTTCTCGCAGTTATGCTAGGGCTGGGCATAGTTAAAACAATCTTAAGAAACATCCCCCTTCCCATCCAAGAAAGGAATAGTAACTTAATGTCATTCCTTAGTATTTGCTGTTATACATCCACAGGAATTCCTCCACAGAAAACTCTTTACACAACATAGAAAGTACCAGATAAATATTAGGTATTATTTTTCCCCACAACAAAGCATCTGTGAAGTAGGGTCCCATTTCATAGTCACAAAATTTTCTTTCTTTTTTTTTTTTTTATTTTTTGACAGGCAGAGTTAGACAGAGAGAGAGAGACAGAGAGAAAGGTCTTCCTTCCATTGGTTCACCCCCCAAAAGGCTGGCATGCTGTGCTGATCCGAAGCCAGGAGCCAGGTGCTTCCTCCTGGTCTCCCATGCGAGTGCAGAGCCCAAGCACTTGGGCCACAGCAGAGAGCTGGACTGGAGGAGGAGCAACCGGGACAGAAACCGGCGCCCCAACCGGGACTAGAACCCGGGGTGCTGGCACTGCAGGTGGAGGATTAGCCAAGTGAGAAGCAGCACCAGCCAAAAATTTTCTTTTTTTTTTTAATATTTACTTTAATTATTTGAAAGGCAGAGTTACAGGTGGGGGGGGAGAAGGCAGAGAGAGAGAGAGAGAGAGAGAGAGAGAGAATCTTTTCATCCACTGCTTAACTCCCAAAATGGCTACAGTGGCAGGAGCTTGCAACTTCATCTGGCTCTCCCCTGTGGGTGGCATGGGATCAAGCACTTGGGCCATCCTCTGCTGCTTTTCTAGGCACCTTAGCACGGAGCTGCATTGGACGTGGAGCAACCAGGATTCCAACAGGTGTTCTGACATGGGATGCAGGCATCCCAGGCAGCTGCTTAATTTGCTGCACCACTTACAAAAGCTAAAAGTCCTGCTCCCTCTGCCCCTCCCCTTTCAAAGGATGTCCTTTTTTGGATCAATTTCTCTTTTTTTCAATGTCTCCAAACCAAAACAGGCTCACTTTAAAAACATTTTTTTTAATTTATTTTAATTTCTCTAAAATGCAGACACAAGAAGGACAGAGAGAGAGAAAAATATTTCCCATGCATTGATTCTCTCCCCAGTGCCTGCTGTGGCCCCTAGGTGGGGCTGAAAACAGGAGTCAGGAATTCAAAACAGGTCTCCCACATGGGAGGTAGAGACTGGATTACTTGAGCCATCTCCCCACTGCCTCCCAGGGTCTGCACTGCTGGGACACTAGAGTCAGCAGCAGCTCAGGTCAGAGCCAGGCATCAAACCCAGGCACTCCCTGTGGGACAGGAGTATCCTAATTAGCATCCCAACCATAAGGCTGAACACCTGCCCCAGTTCGACCCATTTTTGAATTTAATGATTTATGAAATTACACAATGTGTACTCTTTGGGCTTCTCTTGTTCAGTTCCACATTCTGTTTGCTTATCCATACACAGGGTGTGCAGTGTTAGCTGTCATTTTTCATGGCTGAGTACCATTCCGTTGTCTGAACACAAAATAGCTTATTCA